ATATCGCAAGTTTGACTTGGTTAAGCGGTGCCGCAACTATAGAGTGATGATGCGACGCCAGTAACATCGAATCAACCTGCATCGCAGTCACTCTCGCTTCGTCATCACCGACTACATGTTTTCATTACTCAATTCAGTGTAATCAACATCAGTATACTTTGCTCGACGCAATTCTACCGTTAAGGCAGTCACACATGACTTAAAATACCCAGAAACAACAATTTTCTGTCAAAGGGACATTTTTTAATTTTTGAGTTTTGGTTGATTTAAACTTGAATTTGCTTTGAAGGTGAATCTTCCCCCAAAATTAGCAATGCAGGTCTAACAGATATAATTCGAGGCTTGCAAGACGTAGGGGGAAAGTGAAAGTAAATGATAATTTTATGTACTTACGCTTCTTCATCTTGCAAGCAACGAATTGAGGATGTAAAATACTATAAATTACGCAATATGGTTGATACATAATCACAGAAAAATAACTAAAACAGAAAATACTTCCTTGTGTTAATGTGTTTCACTGCAGTGCAAGTAACAATGAGGTTTAAATGTCAAAACATTTCATGGTTTCCTAAGTACACTTGGATACTCCTACCAAATAGTAAACAATAAAAGTGTACTCTGACTTCTAGCTTATCCGTTAGTTGATAAGTATATGAGTTACATCACCACTTATATGATACATTTATGTTGATTTTAATATTCCTAGGCTGAAATTGAGTCCAATTTAATTCAAAAAATTGGGGATATTATTTTAGCCCTGGAAAAACTAACGGAATCCCTTCAATTCAAATTCATGACTAAGCCATAAAATAAGTAATTTGGTGCTAAAATTTTTATTTTCTTATATTACGTTTGAATATTGCAAAAGTATAAAAACTATTTCAAATCTCAAAATGCAGTCATACATTAAAAATAGACCAAGTAGTTTAAAACAAGATTTTAATGATAAATCGATTCCTTCTCAATGTATTCTCAACTCTGTACTCTAGCATAGTTTGAAAAATGAATCAATATCTTCTTGAGGATTTTAACAGATGTATAGTACCACTTTTTACATATTTATATCTATGTAGGATTAGAAACTATTTATATAAAAATTGAATAAGCATTAAACTGAGTCCTACCAGTTTAATTGTAAATAGTTTTTTATTTATAAAAAATAATGTATTATATTAATACTTTAGAAAGGCCAGTTTTATGGTTAAGTATAAAGTGCATAGATAAATAACACAAACATGATAGATTTTTGTAACCTTCTCAATAAAATAGATCACAATAAAGAAGAAGTCTCGGGTACGTGATATGACTGTAATATTTTACTCTTAGTCAACTTGAATGTGACCAATAAAGAAATTTTATATGTATTTAATTGTGTAATCTTAAGCCTTTATCTTTTAAAGCAAAGCAAATATTTCTTTTTACCTAACCTTTATAATAGAATCAAATTAAATTTTTTTCAGAAATACAGTTTTGCCTCCCTTTGTTTCTGACTCCAATTTTATTAGATTGCTCCTGCCAATTTGCGTAAGTTTGTTTCTAGGAGAAAGAACAAAGTCACAAAAATGTATTTCAATTTAGAGTTCAGCAATGTACATAATTCACAAAACAGAAGAATTATATCAATATTATTGATTTTTTTCCTAAACACTACCTTGCTAGGATAAATTGTTTTAGTTATAATATTTATGACTATATCACATTATTTGTACTTTTTAAAATAGATGTTTTAAAAACATCTATTTTAAAATAATAACACAAAAATTTTAGTTGTAAATTTCATTCTAACTCTAATGTTTAACTTCTGTACTTTACTAGAAATCTTATTATATTGTTGTAATAACATAACCAGTCATTTTATGCATTTTGAAAACATATCTAGATATATTTAATCACTCTTTGTGCCAAAGTTTTAGATATTAGAACTTAGTATTAGATATTTATTAGACTTAAGATAAAGTGTAAATAGTCATACCTATTTTAATAATATTTGACAAAGATTGTGTGTCATACCCATATTCAAATATTGTACATTGTATTGTATAGCAATAAATTATTTATTTGAATTTAATTATTTGCACTGTTTCATAATGTACCTTTACTTAACACAATATTTAGGTGTGAGAAAGGATAGGATAAGCAGGCTTACCTTAAGAAATGTAGGCATCCCACTTCATTCAGAATGAAGTGGGATGCCTACATTTTTTAAGGTAAGCCTGCTTATCCTATCCTTTCTCACACCTATTCTCAGGCAATTAGCCCTTTCTCTCCAAACTTAACACAATATTTATTAGATTTAGAAGGGTGTGGGGATTTTTTCCTGAAGAAATAGAAAAAGTCCTACAATAACACCTATGTTTGATCAAACTGGCGTATACAAGATCAATTGTACCGATTTTAATAAATATTACATTGGCAAAATGTCATGCTCCTTTACAAAACATTTTAAGGAGCATCGACAGCCCACACATCATCATTTGATTCCCCAAGTTCAGAACTACACTCACATCAATAGTAATGTGAATATTTTACATTTTTATAGAAACAGGTTTAAATTAAACATCTTGGAGGTATGTGAGATATATAAGGCTGTAAAATCCAACCACCAAAATGTGTTGAGCGATTAACATTCATTCTTAAAATGTATTGTTTGTGTGTGTGCTGTTTTTAAATATTTACTTTTAAGTTTATGACTTTGCCGAGCTTTATGTGAGCTACGAATTCGTCCTTGTACCACCCGATTATGGCCCCTTGTAGGAGGCGCAACTAGTTGCTTCTGCAATTATATGGATTGCCTAATACAGTAGCAGATATTTAAACAAACCAGTTTAAAGAAAAAATCTATTCATATCACAGCTTTTACCAGATTTTGATTTTTATTCTGGTAGTTTGGTTAACAGAGTTTAACGTTATTTTCAATTTTAACACTCACCATACTCAACTCAAAGTTCCTTAATGGATATGCATGTAATGAACTTCGGTTACCCTGATTCTTATTGGTGGTTAGATTTGTACTAAAACGAATGAGAGATTTCTCACACCATATGAACAGATCTCACTCCATTCTACAATCACACTTTATTCATATCTAGCTTAAAATACACAGCAAAGCAATGTACATCAGCATCACTGTCTTATTTTTGGGTTTAACCACGTTTAACTTAAATAAATAATAAAAAAAATGTTTTTGCCTGTAAGCTGTGTTAATAATTAAAAATAGGTATTTACCTTTGTCCACAGCTCAAACTGTTGTGACTTGAGTTACAGCCGTTTCGGCATTATAATGCCATTGTCAGACGTAGAACATTCAGCTGAAGTAAGTCATAGTCAACACACACAGCACGAACAACATTTTACATTTAACGAAAATACAGCGAATAAATTAAACAGGCCTGTCGCACACACGGTACCGGTTGGCATTGCCACAATCTGAACTGGATGCCGACTGGATACGTCTGACGATGGCATTATAATGCCGAAACGTCCATAGCTCAAGTTACAACAGTTTGAGCTGTAGACAAAGGTAACCTACCTATTTAAGGTAGGTACCTATTTTTAATTAAATAAATAGTTAGTTCCTTAAAACTAATGGCAGGATGGAAATATGATAGAAAACACACTATTTTTCAAGTACAATTTATTAAAAAATGAAAAATTATAGTATATTTCTGTACAATCAACAAATGTCATATTAATTCTTAAACAGTACAACTAATTCATTTATAATAATTGCTATCCAGAAACAACTAATTGAAAGTACACACATGGGAATAAAACAAAAATGAATTGTGCTTCTGACATGAATATGTAAGGAATCTTAGGTTATTTTTTGGATCTTAACAAATATTGCAACACTAATAAATTTACTGACTTATTTTCCAAACTTTTGACACAAAAAACTTTGAACACATATTTCAAACGCCACACATCTAAGATTATCTCATTAAGAACATCATTTCAACATTGAATTTACTTCAGATTACAGATTAGGAGAGTTATAAATAACAAAGGAACAAATATGTTAATGCAAAAACAATGTTTGATAAATAATATAGGTAAAATTATAGTTTGATAATTTACATACGACTAACGTAATTTTTTATTGATAAAAATGGAATGAAACTATTTTCAAACATTATATCTTTTAAAATTAAGTACCCTAATTACTAACCAAACGAAAATCAATGGTTGAGTTATGTGACTGGATTATGCTTACTGTTATAATTTACAAATTCATCTTCTTTAAGCTATTGAATTGAACCATTAAACGGGAATATGGTACAAAACATACTCAAGATGGCACAAACACATAACTTGGCACGGCAATATGGCTAGTAAATTATACCTATGAGGAATGGAATGTGTTTTCCTGAATGGGTATTAATGTCTTTTAAGTTCAAATAATTTTAATGTCACACACTACTTCTTCTTAGAGTATTAAGTTTTAAATGTAATTTTAAATCAATTGAAGTATTAAAAAATGAGCAATAAACGAGATCATAAATAAACAAAAATATAAATGTCAAATTTAAAACTTATGTTACATACTTTGATCATTATTTGATCAGCATTTCAAATGTCATTGGAGTCACGCATTGTAAATAAAATTTATAAGATTTTCAAAAATATGTTTAGACTTATACTGTACTCTCATACTACTAATGATTATATTTACCAACAAAGATTGTCATAAATTAAATGTGCTTGAGCTCAACAAAACCAATTGCTATTACATGATCAGTTAGTTTGATAAAACGTGAAATAAACATGTATCTCCTTGGAAAAACAACTAATCAAGATGATCAAATGGCGTAAAACAAAAGGATAAATGGAAAACAACGTTTATATTTTTACTAACTTTAAGGAAGAAAAAGCTGTGAAAGTGTAAAAAGAAATGTAAATCTATATAAATAATTTTAAATAAAGTTTTAAAAATATAGATATTAGTAAACTAAACAGTTAAATTTTGACTGCTAGGATCTTTAGAAACTTATTATCCAGGGAACTAATGGTATTAAATATTCATTACAAATTTTAAGCATTCTTTTACCATTTAAAATATGTTTACCTTTGAGTTTATGAGTACAGTACATTGAGTGTAAATATATCTTTAAAAAATAATTTTACTTAACGTGTTCAAATACAATCTGTTACACATTTTTTTATACAAATTTCACACCATAATCGACTAGTTGTTTTAGTATACGGTAAAAGTTTGTATGACAAACCATTACACCTGGTCAATTGTATACATAACATGTTGATTGGTTACTTTTAGGACCGGTTACGATTCTCTTTTGACAATCACACAATATTATACACACTTAAAAATTCTAAATATTTTACAAATATTCAAACGGCAGCTAAAAAGCTATAGGTAAAATAAAGCATTTATAAACAACATACCACTAAAACATTCAACATTCAAATTTACAAATAATATACGCTTATTAATTAAACTCTTATAAAATAAAGCTACATAAAATAAATATATGTAAAAATTGCAGAAGATTCAAGACTAGTGTGGTATTAAGTTAGTAAATCTACATTAACCTAGAATATCCTTAGTTTGATCATGCTTCATGTCTCATTGCCTATCAATTATTGCTAAAACTTGCATCTCGACATCACAGATTTGTAAATGAGTGAATTGTGGGTTTTAATTGCTCTTCACATTTATAGCTAAAACTAGTAAAGATATAGAAATCTTACTAATATTATAAATGTGAAAGTTTGTGTGTTTGTTTGTTTGTTTGTTTGTTTGTTTGAAGTTCAATCACGCATAAACCACTGGACGGATTGGGCTAAAATTTGGCATAATGATAGCTTACATTCCCGATTAACATATAGGCATATTCTTATCTCAAAAATCCTTTCGGGCTCCGCCCCAGTGGCTCTGTAATTCCCCACGTTAACCTTATGAGTATTCATATTTAAAGGGAATTGAAGAATTTAGTCAGCTGTTTCAACTAAAAAAGATGGTTCTATGATATGGAAAAGCATTAAAAAGTTATAAGATTTACCAACAGGGTGCAGCACTATTTTTTTTTTGCATTTATGAAAACAGCTAATTTGAACTAAGCAGCAACAAAAAACTGTGATTCGCAATGAGAACTGTCAAAGTAGGATTGTTTACAGTTATGTATATGTTTTTCATTTCATGAATAATTTGTGATATTTTGCGAATTGATAATTTATTTTTCTCTATTGTTTAGGTAAAATGGTAGAACATTATGGCTATGGTAGATGTGTAATACTATAGAATACTGTAAATTAAAAAAAGCAAATTTTATCAAACTGTGTCCTCCACCCATTGCAATCACAAAGCTTGAGTATAACTGCAATAAGCATTTTATACTTATATTCCAACCCCGTACGAAGGACGGGTACTCTGCTAGTTCTTTATATTTGAGCAGTTTTAAGAGTCTGACATTAGTGGCCATCAATCAAATTCATGCTTTGAGGTTTAAAACCTCAAACTTAATTTCTACATATAAATTTTACCTTAAAATATTTTAATAGTAACAAAGATTAAGTAAATGCCCATTGAAGAATTTTTATTCAGTACAAAATTGAAAACATTAAAACTTTAATGAATTTAGTCTAAATTACTTTAAACCACAATATTTTAGCTGTAATTTTTATTAATTACAAACAATTTTATTTAGAGTTACACAAATTATTTTAAGAGAGATTAGTCCGATTCTTTATAGTAGTTGAACCAGACTTGTTTGAGATGCTAACCATCAGGCTAACAACACACTACCTAAAGGTAAACCCCCAAGATTATTAATTTTAAACACTCTAATCACTAAAACAGATATCTTATTTTTCCATATTTCAGAATGTACTAAGAAATTTTCTAGCATACCCATTTTCTGATTTTTTACAATCTGTGATGATGAGATTTAATGCACTAATACAATCGACTTGATGATCGAGTGGCACTTAAAATATTTTACCTAAATAATCTCAAAGATCTTACCCAGAATAAGAATTTCAAGAAGTCCAAGATTGTTACTGTGTATGAACTATACTATTGAAAAATTACAATTTAGTTTCATTACAACATATTTAAAATGCTTAAAACAGACTCGCTGTTGAAGTCTTAAACTTGAAAAAATGTCATTGTAATTATTTAAAAGTAGTATTTTAAGACAACACTAAATAATGATAAAACTAAGAGAACAACGTTTGGGTAAGATCTTAAGGTTTGACCACAATTTGTTTGCCCCCAATTAAGGTAACACGGACACCATTATGTGCACCAGGTAGTAAACATTGTCGTGTTGGCGAAATAAATCAGATAAACTACAATAATCATATTAAATTTTTATAAAAAAAAAAAACCAATTAATTGTAAGTTTTGAATTAAACTAATTAAAATGTGTTTTCACTGCAGCTGATATAAAAAATGCTAGAATTTTATGATTTTCAAAAAAGATTGTAACCAAGAGAAAAACTACAGCAGCAGCAATACGTTAAAAACTTAGTTTGGAAATCATTAAACAAATAATATTCCTACGAAAAGTCTTCAATCAGGGACATACAAAGGGTGATTTGGACCCTTCTATGTGAGTGTTTTCTGGTGTTTCTGTCAACCATGTTACAGCTCACAAAGAATGGCCATTAGGTACACTTTACATTCTTCACAAAAATATATAAATATGGTCTTCTGTATCACATCAATTCAGTGTAGGCTTGGCAAGTTGCCCCTAGTCTGGGGCCCGTAACCTTGGTCACCACCTAGACACAATCATATCCATCAGTTAATGTGGCAAGTGACGGACTGTATTTCATTACCAACACTTATCTCTGATAATCACAATCTTGTAGATCTCGGGGTAAAATATCTGTGGTACTGTGTTTAGTGATCCTGTTTTTTTCTGCTAGGAAACTAGATATTAGCATAGATTAAACACACTCCCTTATTAGATTAATTCCAATTGTATTGTTAATTCTGTCCGGTGCTGCTAGGAGCGTGTTTTTGTTTGCAATTTATTTCTTGTTTGGTTTTTTAAAACATTTTTTAACCAAATAAAACGATCTAATCATAAACAATAACTCTTCCCCGCCTTTTTTTGTCCTAGGACGCTAGGCACGAGCCCGGGATTGTTTTTCACATTACTTCAGGCTAGACCTAGGGGTTGCGGCATTATCACTTAGATAAAATCCATTGGTGATTTGGCAGGATTTGAACCCGAGATCCCTGGAACCGGAGTCCCGCGCTCTAACCACTAGACCAGCTCGCATCCCCTCCTTGTATAGCCAAACAATGAAGTATAGATTGTAAAATTGACCCTAAAATAATGTAAACGGAATTTTGTCAACACCACCGCCCAGTGGTATCATCAACATGAAATGAAACCCCTTCTTTATTGAGGCAAACTTAGAACCTCATGGTCCTTTCTTACAGTTATTGAATGAACTAGACCATGAAAACATGAAAATAAGCTTCAAATTTAACAATGGGATGAGAAGTCTAATTGTGATGGTTAGTCTATGATGTTAATATAGTAGCCTAGAAGTAGATTTTCAAGCTGAACCAATCTATTTAAACAATCCTCTTTACCCCTGGAGTTGTGAAGAGTCGTCATAAATACATTTCATTTTGAATTCACAGAAGAAACAGAAAATTTGGGCAAAGTACAATAATGATAGAAGACACGTGGTTTAACTGGCAGATTGTGAGTCATGGTTCCGCTCATATTTTAGTTTTTATCTCAGAGCGATTTGATGTAAACTAGATTTTTAATTTAGAGCCCAAGGCTTAGAGATTGATTTAATCATGTCTTTTAATTTTTTCACCTCACCTTATGAGCACAAAAAATCTGAATTATTATAATAGGCCTACTACAAGTTTTTAATATACAGTACACATACATTAAGGGGTCTGACTTAGGGGAGGTACGAATGAGGCATTTAGTTCAAAATTCCTCTGTGAACAGTGCTGTAGTAGAGAGCACTTTGGCAATGAAGGTTTACTAATCACAAAAATAGTTCTGTTCATAAAATAAAATTATAAATGTCTCAAATTCAATTTTATAATTTTTTAATTATAAAATTAAATTATCATAACCTAACCGAACTAACCAAACTTGCTGATAAAGAAATAATATAACAAAAGTTTAGTAATCGGAAAAATAATTCTGTTTATTAAATAAAACTAGAATTTGCTCAATTAAAATTTTATAATGACTTAATAATAAAATTAAACTGTAATAACCGAACCAAACCAACCAAACTTGCTGATAATAAAAAAATCTTGGACAAAAAGTTAATACTACCAGCAGGATTTGAACCCGGGACCTTCAGTATATCAGCCCGGTACGCTAACCATTAGACCACCAAGGCCGACGGCTTCCGACCGTTTTGTTACGGTAACGGCGTTCCCTCAGCTAATAAGAAGCCCACAGCTGTCATCGTAGCCTCTTCTATACCTCCCCTGAGTAAATACCATACATTAAGCATAGTTAAAACAAACCCATCTGTTAACTTCCTCTTGTCAGCTGTTCACTGTTTATTTTAGGTAGGTGAACTCCTCGATTTCCACACCAGACGTGACCCAGAAAGGTTTCCAGCCTTCAATCGACGTAGTAGTTGCACTTGACTCTCCGGTTGTTAAAGGCCTATTTTGATTGGAGTGACTGTAGCGATAGTCGCACAGCGATTATTGCTCAGTTACTATCGCTGTTACGGCGGCCTTTTTGCTTAAAGTGATTGCCAGCTACTATCGCGGAGCTATTATCGCCATGCGACTATCGCTGCAATCACTCCAAGCAAAATAGGCCTTAAAGATATCAGGTACAGTACAGCTCAAGTAGCACAGATTGTAAGTAAGTTTGGTTACGCTACCCTCATTATCTGACCAAACACAAACAAATTGGACATTTGAGTTCAAAAGGTTACAAGTAGACCATTACTAACCTGGACAGTCGGCCTGTTGTTTTGTTGATGGCCGTGACAGTGGACTTGGGGTCTGGAGTGAGTGAGCTCCATGACGTAGAGACACACGGCTCCAGCTGTAGAGACTGACACAGTTCTAGAGTAGAGGACGTGACAGCACAAGACTCAACCACTGAGTAGAACCTGTGATACAAACAACACTCTGTCATCATCTAGAGCAAACAGCTGGTACGACCTGTCAAATAAAACAGCTGGGTATGTTGTTAGGGTGTCTCACACTTCTGTGGGATGGGTTCGGTACCTCGCATATCCACCTCGCAACACTAACAAAAACATTTTACAATTTCCAGTAGAAAATTTGTCCGTGGTACACTTGCAGTTGGATATGTGACTGGGATAAATGTTTTTATTACAAACTTTTATAAAAGGGACAGATTTGTTAGGCTGTTAAACAAAAAATTTAAAGGCACAAGCTTAAATCACAATTCCAATAAGACCTTGAGTATAAGCTATATCCACAAGAGGTAATTTAATGGAAACATGGAAAAATACTAGAATTCAAGTGAAAGATACAAACTTAGAATCACCAGAGTAACCTAACCTAAGGGTGGTTAGGTTAGGAAGATTTTGTTATTTAAACTAATTACGAAGTCGATTTATCGGTATGGTCACTACTGTACGTAAGTCTAAAAAAAAGTTGTAATCACTTAAACCTAAAAAGATAATACTCGACAAATTTATACTGTAGTATTGAATTATTATATATTATGAATTGTGAACAGAAAACTTGTTTTTAAAAATAAAATATTTAAAAATATTTACAATATATAATAAACGAGAATGAGAAACAAGAAACCCAAAACTCAGTTTGATCAATAAAAAGGCAACAATGCAAGAAAAATATATTCTAAACAGGAAGCATGTCAAGATAATCAGGTTTACCAACTTTCTGCAAAATATTATTTTCTAATGTGCAGTTACAGTACTAACCTAGCCACAAGAGTGTCGATCCACTGAGTGAGGTCCTTGCCGTATCTGTGAGCGTTGGCCTCTGCTCTGACAGCTAGGCTGGGGTCAGGGGCATCAAGCAGGTCCTGTAGAGGGGAGTCCTGGACATGGTACGACTGTGTGGGGCCACTGTGTTGAAACCTGCATTACAGTGGAACTTGGATAAATTCAGCACTGACAGACTAGTAACAAACACCAAGCAGCGGCTGGCAGTCTGGTCACACTATGCGCCTAGTCAGTTCTAGTCGCCATGCCGTTTGTGGGACCTCGTAAACTAGTACTTAATAGGCCTACCTATCTAAATATTCCTTTGAAGAAACCAGGGCCGTATTTCCCTAACGGCGGACACGACGGTTGCCGTAAGCCTCACTTGGGGCTTCAAATTTTTTTCTCGATAAATTTATTCACCGATACTCTGTTTTGCTATGATTGGGGAGGACGTTTATGAAATCTGCAAAAGATCTTCACTATTTCGCTGTTAACGTAGGAGTTCATCGGCAATCGTGAAAGATGTCCAGGATTTTATCGCGACCGTGTGAGTTGAAATCACGTCCCCGTAAACTCGAAAGATCTTCAAGATTTTGCCGCATGATGTTCACTATTTTGCCGTGAGCTTAGAAGATGTTCACGATGCCCCCGTGACCGCGGCAGATGTCTACGATTTTACTGTGAACGCAGAAGACAATTAAAATTTAGCAGTGATTTTGTGTAGACCAATTTAATTATGAACTACAATTTTAAATAATTACTTCCAAAACCACCCGATTTTGATCTGTAGCCCCAAAGGTAAAGATTTTTCTGACAGAAATGAAAAATGTCTGGCCCTGAGCTAAGACCCCTAATATTATAAAAATTAAGACTTATTTATTAACTAGCCTCCTAGGTCTTTTTGCCGATCGGATTGCTGGAAAAGTCAATTCATCGAGTTAAAGCAATATCCCGTGTATTTCTAAACCCTTCAGTTCCAACCTTCGAAGAATCAGAATATAGAAGAGCCTCTCTGGTGAGAGCCGTCGGTTGCCTCACAGATTCTAAATACGTACCTGAAAGAAATGTCCCACAAGCACGGATAATGTTAGAAGTTGTCAGTTATATAGTCAATGGTATTATATACAGCAAGTGATATAGTTTGAATCAGCTAACAGCTGTTATATATTTTATTCTTTGCACTTTATATTTCATTGCTAAGATTCAATTATGATTTAAATGCTTACTGTTGTGAGTTCAATTGTAAATAAAGGTGTTGAAAGTAATAGCTCTCTGTTTTAACGTTCCAACATTATTGGCGACCGTGGACAGGACTAAAACCAGTGCAAAAATGGATATATCAAAACTAAATCGAAGTAGAGGAGTCATCAGAAGAACCTTCACTAAAACAAGGACTGAACTTGAAGGTATGATTAGTAGTGAAGATCGGGATTTAACTAAGATTGTAGCTTTAATGGATGTTTTAGCTACTCAATATGAATCCATAGCAAAACATGACTCAGAAGTGTTTGAACTCATGTTGTCAACTGAAGTAAATGACAATGACATGGACAAGGAGATGGAAAGCCAAAAGGACTATTCATTAGCTTTTCAAATAGTTAAGAAATCTGTAGAGAAACTCCTACAGATAAGCCTAGAGGAAGATAAGGTTTCTGTAATAAGTGGTCAATCACAGCCTTCATCAAATCAGGTAGGCCTAGGTTATCCTAAGCATAACAACAGTGGATACAAGCTTCCCTTGATTAAATTCAAAGAGTTTGGGGGCGATCTTAAAGATTGGTTACCATTTTGGGCTCAGTTTTCTAAAATAGATTCTGATGAATCGATAAATCCTAATGACAAAATCCAGTATTTAGTTATGGCAACAATTCCAAACTCTGCAGCCAGAGAAGTGGTTGAAAGATACCCAGCCACTGGAGAAATGTATCCCGAAGTAATTAAAAGTCTCAAAAGTCGTTTTGGTCGGGATGACTTGCTAACTGAATATTACATTAGGGAAATGTTGAAAATTGTAGTTTACCATGCTTCGTCAACCAAGAAGCTTTCCATATCTGAATTATATGACAAACTGCAGTGTCATCTAAGAAACCTAGAAACACTAGGGGTATCCTCAGACACGTGTGCACCTATCCTCTTACCTCTAGTTTCATCTTGTTTGCCAGAAGATGTTTTGAAATTGTGGGAGAGATCTAGTTCTAATACATTCAGTAGGCATAAGAACGAGAAAAATATGTCTAAAGACTTGTTAGAAAATCTTCTTAATTTTCTAAAAGGGGAAATTGAAGGGGATCAAAAGGTTAAGTTAGCTATGTCTGGTTTTGGTTTATCATAGACCTCAAGTAAAGAAAAGAATGACAGTAGGCAAAGTAAGGCAACTCCTCCCTTTGTAAATAAATCGAGTAGGCCTATTACAGCTACTGCTACAGGGCTATTTACTTCTGAAAAATGTGACAAATCAAATAGCCAAGGTTGTATATTTTGTACATTTTCTCACAAAAGTCAAGACTGTATCAAAGCCCAATCAATGCCTTTGTCAGGAAGAAAAGCAGCTGTAAATAGTAAGAAAGCATGTTTTTGTTGCTTAAAACCAGGGCATACTGCTAACAAATGTAGGACTAAGCCTAAGTGTATAGTTTGTAAAAAGTCTCACTTTGTCATCATGTGTGATGAGATTGATCAAATTAAAAAGCAGTCTAATGAATCAAATCCTAGTAGAGACTTAGCGGAACAAGAAAATGTCATTGTTCAGCCCAATAGAGACAAAACACTTCCAAACTTAAATACCTGTAATGTGTTGATGCAAACTTTACGTGTCAATGTAACGGGACCCAAAGGTGTTTACTGTGCAAGAGCTCTGATTGATTCTGCATCCCAAAGATCATATATTTCATCCAGCTTAGCAACCAAAGTAGGTTATGTATCTACCAAAAATGAAAAGATTCAATATTCTCTTTTTGGGGGCAACAGTACAGGAGTAATTAATCATAATATGTATGTACTACATCTTTCTTCATTAGATGACAAGTATAGATGCCACTTCGAAGTTCTAGACCAGAAGAAGATCTGCGGAAACATCTCACCAGTCGTACGAGGACCCTGGATTAAAGAGCTAGCTATGCAGAACATTACCTTCAGTGATATTGACTCTAATGGTCCTATAGATGTACTAATAGGAGCAGATGTAGCAGGAAACTTATGGACAGGTGGTCACAAGGCTCTGGACTGTAAATTGGTTGCAGTAGAAACAAAGCTCGGATGGACATTGATGGGGAAAATTCCAAACAAGCAGCATAACAAGCAACATGCAACAAGTTTAGTAACTTCTATGCTGACTACAGGTAAAATTAGTGACCTTTGGACTTTAGATACGTTAGGAATTATAGATCCATACGAGAAATGTTCAAGACAGGAATTAGAAGCCGAAACACAGAAAACCTTTCTTGAAACAGTAAAAATTACCAAAGAAGGAAGTTTTGAAGTTTGTCTCCCTTGGATGGCAGATCACTCTCCGCTGCCAGACAACTATGATTTAGCTAAGAAAAGACTATCTTCAACAGTGAAAAAACTTAAGAAAGAAGACCTATACGACAAATACCAAGAAGTATTTGATGGGTGGTTGAATGAAAAGATTATAGAAGAAGTTCCAGTTGAAGAAATGCACCGACCTGCTCATTATCTACCACATCACCCTGTCTTAAAAGTTGGCAGTACTACTCCGATTCGTCCTGTGTTCGATGCCAGTGCGCATGAACATAAAGGTCCTTCGTTAAATCAGTGTTTGGAAAAAGGACCCAATCTTATCGAGAAGATTCCTTCAGTAATGGCTCGATTTCGACTGAAGAAAATTGGTGTATTAGCTGATATTCGCAAGGCATTTTTACAAATTGCTTTGAACCAAGCCGACAGAGACTTTTTGCGATTCTTGTGGACTACGAAGGAAGGACAACTTATAGTTTACAGACATTGTCGAGTTGTTTTTGGAGTTTCCTCGAGCCCTTTTTTATTGGAAGCTTCAATCAGACTACTCTTGGAAGAAATACTACTGGAAACTAAGCAAGGCAAACACATCTGGCCTTTGAAGTTAGTTGAAACCCCAGCTTCCAGCTTTTATGTTGACAACTGTGTGTGCAGCGTAGACAACTGGGAAGAAGCGCAGCAGTTTGTTGAAGTAGCAACCAAGATTATGTACGAGATAAAGTTTGAACTTCGAGGGTGGGAGCTGACTGCTGACAAGAACTCATTTTCATCGCCTCAACAGAAATCAAACGTTCTAGGTCTGGTCTGGGATAGAGTATCAGATACACTAGAAGTAAATATTGCCAGCCTACAAGATATTGACACTGAAAAGATCACTAAGAGGATTATTTTGAGTACGGCACATCGCATCTTTGACCCAATTGGCTTTACATGCTGTGTTACATTGATACCAAAGTTACTACTTTAACACACATGGGAAAAAGGCACAAGTTGGGATGAACAAGTTGATCCAAAGACAAAAGATGGTTTCATCATGGAATGGTTAAAAGACATCCACTTCCTCAGTGAAATCAAGATACCTAGATGGTTACCCGGTACAAACACCATAACAAATTGGACACTCCACATGTTTTCAGATGCCAACTAGAATTCATACGCTTCAGTTGCTTTTTTGCGTATTGAGTTGGAAGATTACAGGGTACAACTAGTTGCACCAAAATCTAGGGTAGCACCAGTTACCAAATCGTCTAAGAAGATGACAATTCGTAGACTTGAATTGTTAGCGGCTTCTATATCTGCTAGGTTGTATTCGACCATCGTTGATGACTACAAGTTACATGATGTAGTAACATATTTCTGGACTGACGCAACAACAGTTTTAGCATGGATTAAACGGGAAGATAATTGGAATGTATTCGTCAACAACCGAATGTCAGAAATCAGGAGATTAACTTCACAGCATGAATGGAGATTTGTTCCCGGTAACAAGAATCCAGCTGATCTTCCCTCAAGAGGATGCTCTGCTCAGAAACTACTTGAGTCAAGATGGTGGGAGGGCCCAAGTTGGATTACAGAATCTCCAGAAAATTGGCCTCATCAAGAAGAAACTCCATACAATGAGGATGATATTAACAGCGAAAAGAAAAGGACTGTTATTTCTGCTGTTAACAATGTCA